TTCTTGTTGGCATCTGTGTAAGAGAATCCAGCAGCCTGACCTGTCTCCCACTCAAAGAGACCATGGAGATTTGGCCCAGTCTTGTGCTTGCCTCCCTTCTCAACAGTGTGGCAATGGGCACACTTCTGTACAAAAATTTTCTTGCCTTTCTCAACATCACCCATTTTTAAACCTGCTGCAGCTTCCGTGCCGGGTGGTCACCAGTCTTCCCTCGTTACCACAAGGAAAGTTCTAGCGCAGAAGCCTGATATCCCACTCTCTAGCCCAAGGACACGCCGGTCCGCAGCTAAGTACTGGTGTTGGTGCAACCACACTCGCTCTCTAAAACAATTTTTAGAACTAAATAATAATATGAATAAAATCTCCCAGAATTTAAGGGCACAATAAACACAGTCACAAGAGGGACGTTCGTAGCTCTGAATACAGTGGTCCCCTCTCTTATCGCGGAGGTTGCGTTCCAGACACCCCCGTGGTAAATGAAAATCAGAGAAGTGGTGATATTATATTTATTATAGTACTTATATATATTTTAAGGCCTTATAAACCTTTTCGACACTTTTAAAAACACTTCTAATGTTCTTAATAATTTCATAACTCTTAAACTTATGTAATTTTAACAATGTATGAACAATGTACACTACTGCAAAATCTAGTGATACAGTGAAAAATCAGCAATAAATAAATTAGATTAATATTTTTGAAAACATGCAATACTGAGTCTATGAAAGTCAAATGTCAAAGTAGTGAGGGACTACTGTATCCACATCATGAAAACAGAATGAGCCCAAGAAAATAACTTAACGATGCACCTCAAGATCCTAGATAAATTAATAAATCACAGGTAGTATAAGGAAAGAAATTATAAAAAAGGAAAGAAAGAAAGAAAGAGAAAAGCAACACAGAAAATTAATATATTCAAATAATTGGTTATTTAAAAGAATAAATAAATGACAAAATAGATAAACACTGGGCCAATTTCACTGAACAAATGAGAGAAAAGATACAAATCATCTAGAAATGAAAAAGGTGAAAACACAAAAGATACTGCTAAAATTAAACAACGTCATCAACTATACTTTCATAAACCTATATACCAGTAAATTAGAGATTCAGTACAAATGGCTAGATTTCTAGAAACCTTTGAATTTCCTGAATTAAACAAAGTAGAATTTAAACCCTGAATGACTCGGTAGCAGCTAATGAAACTGAAGCATTAATAAATGAACTACTAAGAAAAAGCAAGGTCTATACAAGTTCACTGCTGAATTCTGTGAAAACTTACAATACTTTTCAGTACTTCCAATGAAACTGAAAGGCAAAGACCTTTCCCAAAGACATTTATGGAAGCTACTGTTACCATGCTTCCAAAACAAGACAAGGATCAACCCAAAAAAGAGAACTGCAGACCAATCTCTTATTGGTCTTTGTATGTATGTATGCATGTACGTATGTATGTATGTATGTATGTATGTATTTATTTATTTTTGTACCGGGAATCAATGTTAGGATCTTGTGCTTACTAGGCAGGTACTGTGCCACTGAGATATATCCTCAGCCTAGATCAATCTCTTTAACGAATAAAGATGCAAAAATCCTCAGCAATATACTGGTAAACAATGCAACAAATCATCATAAAGGTGATATGCTATAACTAAGTAGGCTTCATCCTAAGGATATAAGGATAGTTCAAAATATACAAATCAATAAATGTAATACATCACATAAGCAGAAGCAGGGACAAATCACACAATATCTCAGTAGACACAGAAAAAGTCTCTGACAAAATCCAACATACTTTTATGACAAGCTGAAGAAACTAGGTATAGAAGGACTTTATTTCCATCTGATAAAAGCTATTTATGACAAACCTACTGCCTAAATCATATTAGATGGGAGAATGAAGCTTTCCCTCTAAAAATCAGGAATAAGACTGTCCACTGTTGCATTCCTGTTTATCACAGTATACAAAACATTAGCAAGATAAATTTGACAATAAAAAGAAATTAAGTGGATAGCTACAGGATAGGAGGAAGTCAAATTATCACTATTAGCAGATCATATGATACTTTACATAGAAGGCCCCCCAAAAAGAACATCAAAAAGATCTCTTAAGATAATCAAATTTAGTGATGTAACAGGATACAAAATCAGAACACAAAATTCAACAGTGTTTGTTTATATTAATAATTCACTCAGAAATAAATTAGGAAAAAATGTCATTCACAATATTACCAAGTAAAATTACATTCTTAGGAATAGGGGCCGGGAATTAACCAACCTTAGGAAATTGAAGACCTCTATAGTTCTCTGGAAAAGATAACTAAGGAGAACATCAGAAAATAGAAAAGTGGGTTGGCCAGATAGCTCAGGGGATTAAAGCACCTGTTTAAGCACACATAGGGACTGGGGTGCAATCCTGTTCAAGGGCTAAAGCCTTACCAGCTCTGCCTCTGGGAGCTTCTTGGGAGGCTGAAAATAGGAAGATCACTATGAGTCTGATCTGTGTAGTGAGACCCTGGAGATCCTATACTAAATACATTTGAAAAATAGAAAAAATATTCACCTTCCTGGCAAAAAAGAACCAACATATTCAAATAGCCAAATGTACAAAGTTGATATACAAATTTAACCCAATCCCAGTAAAAGTTCCAACTGCATTCTTTAGAAAACTGAAGAAAAAAATTCTGAAATTCATGTGAAACTGGAAAAGACCCAGAAAAATAAGCAAAATGAGACTGGATGAACAAAATAATCATCAATACCTTCACCACTGTATTTAGTATTTTGTTAAAACAACAAAAAAGATGAAAGGCCATCATGACAGTGTAAAGTGTGTATGTTCAAAGACAGACAAAGAATTCAGAAAGATATTAAATACTTCTGTGTAGGTTATAACATCAGGTTGTATTTTAAAATCTACCATACACGAAAAATTACTGAATAAATTTGATAAAAATATCACCTTTATATTTCCTGCTCTAAAAATTAAAAAAAATGCACCTTTTTGTAATCCTATATTTAAATAATTGGACTAATAAAGGGTTAAAATACATTATCCAATGCCAGGCATGCCAGTTTGTGATGGGAATATTTAGAAGAATTATATCCAGGAATTTTATATTCATTATCTTTTCAGGACTTCTTGGTCAAGAAAATGAACAAAATCACCTAGTGTTCAGTTTGTAATATTAACAAATATCATCGCCATACTATTTCCTTTGTGAAGTAGTACTCTAAATGAGACATGATTGGTTGTTGACAGATTAATCTTCAACAAACACTTATAAAGCATCTCATGGTTAAGCAAATATTTGGATTTTATGGATTTCAAAAGCTTATTCTAGTCTTCTTTATACCCATCAACAATAAATTTTGCAGGACAATTGAAATTTGTTCAAACTCCTCAACTCAAAATTTAGACAGTATTTTCTCATGGGAACTTCAACTTAGTTCACTTACTTTTAGTAGTCTGCTTGGTACCCAGTCATACTCAAAAGATATATAACACTTTTAAAGAAAGATGAATCACCTATAAATTTATTAATCCCTTTTTCTAGTTATCAGACTCACCTCTAGTGTACCACAATCACAGACTTCATTTCCCTCCCTTATGCCATTTCCACAGACTGCTTGTTGTTGCATCACTGGTTTATTCTGAAGACATGCAGCACCAACATTTGAAATGAAGCTTTCAAAGTCACTCAAACTACAACTGCTAAAAGTCTTCTTACCACTGGATTTCCTAAAGATGAGGTCATATAATGTCAGGCAGCATTCTTCTAAAAATATAATCCATGAGTTAATTTTAACATGCTCAATAGGCAATAATAATATTCACAACAAATGTGCCATGACCAATTTTGGAAAGTCATGTGATTTCATATATTGGAATACAGGTCCTATTCAGGCAAAAGTACAAGTCATAGAAAAATACTAAAATAATTAATTTATAAATAGGCAAGGAACTTGTATAGACCATCTTTCAAATAAAAATTTATACACATATTACAATAGACATATTAAGCAAGTTATGTTGTGATTAACTGTGAACCTCCTCAAAGGCTCCAGAGAAACAATATGTTTACCAAAATTTTATATAGTTATTTATTCCCATATTAACACTATTAAAGATAATTCAGAGGGGCCAGGGAGATGGCTCAGTAGAATAAGTGCTTGCCTGGCAAGTGTAAGCACCTGAGTTCAATCCCTGGTTCCACAAAAAAAAAAAAAAAAAAGAAAAGATAATTCAGGGGCTATACTTCCATAAGAAGAATTAGTTTCAGTATATAACACAAATCTTTAACACAAAGAGGAAACTGATTTTTACCATAATACTGGGAAAATTATGAAGTAGTTATTTTATAAACTTAACTATTTAGTCAATACTACAAACCAGGGAGGTTGATAATATTTTTTGTAGAAAATAAGGTTCAGAGAAGCTAGAAATTTCATAGTTTAGGCTTTGTAAATTAGTGGGTAAATGTTTTCACACCTTTTTAAAATTATAAGGTAATGTGTAATATTTTGACATATACATGAGAGCTATTTTTTACAGGAGAGCTATTAAGTCAAGCTAATTAACATATCTATCATTATAACATATCCATCGTATATTTATTTTTGTTTCATGAATACTTAAAATCTACTCTTGTATCAGTTTTCATGTATCAGTGCATTATTGTCAATCTTAGGTTACACAAATTTGCAGTAGTCAAGATGTGTAACCTAAATGTCTACCAGTGAATGAATAGATGTAGAAAACATGGTATACACAGTTGCCCCTCTATAACTGTGGATTTTACGTCATCAGATTTAACCAATGTTGGATGGAGAAATGCTTTCTAAAAGTTTGTACTGACTTCTTATTCCTTTAAAAGTATATTATAAAAAGTATATGACATATACGTCATATTTGGTATCTTACCTAAGATGAGAGAAGTTAAAGTATAGAAGGATATATGTATAGTTTAATATGAAAATACAGTTTAAGTATGCCTTATCCAAAATGGTTGTGATTGGAAGTAATTCAGCTTATTTTTTAATTTAAGAAATTTTAATGTATTTGGTATAGGGCCTCACTACACAGCTTGGACTCATACTGACCCACCTATTTTCAGCCTCCCCAGTGCTGGGATTATAGGTGTGCGCCACCACACCTAGACTCAGTCACTGGCTCAGTGCACCTGGGAGTGTAGCAGGTACGTCATGAGGTGCTGGGGAAAGAACTCTGCTCCCTGCTTGCCTAAGCAGGTGTGAGAAGTATTTCAGATTTTGAATTTTATTTTTCTTTTATTTTTTAAGAAAAGACAAAATAACAATAATGGGACTGGGGAGATAGTTCAGTGGAATAAGTGCTTGCCTGGCACGTGCAAGGTCCTGAGTTTGATCCCTGATACTGAAAAAAAAATAATAATGAAAAACAGAAATAATACAGAATTTCACTAAACAAAATAATATGAATTTGCCCATGTTTGTTTTATTGCATAGTGTTTTCTTCAAATTAGCTGTTTAGATTACCAGATCTGTGCATACAAAATTGGCAGGAAAAGTTATAAGAAATTTTAAAAAAATTTAAGCATGAACTTCTCCTTTCTATAGACCAAAAGAAATCAGAAATACAATAATTCAAGCCATCCTGCATGTATACATAGATCTATCTCTTTCCAGTTCTCCATAAGGGTCGTTTTATAGTTTTTCAGTGCACCTGTATTTTCACCATTGTCCCATTACATGAGCTCAGGTGTAGAATTTTCTGCTTCTCAGAATCAGGCCAGTATTGAAAATGTTTCCGAATTTGGAGCATTTCATATTCTATACTTTTGCACATTTTTTTGTACCAGTGACTGAATCTGGACCTTGTGCTTGCCAGGCAGGTGCTTATGCCATTGAGCTATATCCCTGGCCCTATATTCTGTACTTTTAACTAAGTGCATTCAGCCTGTCTTATTCTATTGGATACAAAAGAGTTATTGACCCTTTGATTATGCAGTTCTGGAAGGCAAATCCTTCACAGATTTGCAGAAGCAACATATATCCAATACATTTCAATCTTTACAAAAAGTAATAGTATAATTTGCAATAACATAGGGCAAGCTAAACAATCTTATGCTAAGCGAAATAAATCAGTCACAGAAAGTACTGTATGAATATAACAAAATATATATAACAAAAATACAAGCCAAAAGAAGTAGAGATTAGAATGATGGTCATAATGGTGTGACAACTTAGAAGGAGAATGAGGAAACATTAGTCACACAGTGATTTATGACTTCAAATGAAGGTACTCTTTACTCCAAAATTTACTTCTGAACAATATATAACTCAATAAAATATTTCCTTAAATGTTAATATATTAGTTTACTAGAAACCATGTAAAATATTTTAATTAAGAAAACCCCATAACGTTTGGTTTTGGGAACTCTTCACCATGGCTATATTATATACATAGGCTAATTTACATATGCTTATAGTTCTAAGTGAACCAGCTCTAAGCCTTTAATAGTGCTTATCTGGTTCTAAGATAAACACATGAAAAAGAGTGAACTAGATCATCCAAATAAAACACATTTCCCCAAATATTCAACTGTTTGCTACCCATAATGACAGTTTAGAAAAACACATGTTCCCAAAGTGAATTTGTAATCAGTTCCCTTGAGTATTTATCTATTTGAGACTTCATACTCTCAAATTTCATGCTGTTAATATTGCTCTCAATTTATTTTATAACAGACTTCTGAAAAATGATAGTTTCACATTCAAAGAAATAAAGAAATAAAGTAATGGAAGTGGTTAATAAAAAGAAAGCAGTGCTCCCTGCTATTTTTCTGAAGATGGGGTAAACACATGACAGTATTTTGCACTATCTTGTTTCCCTTTCAGGTTCTTTCTGTATTCTTTATTTTACCCCCCAAATTCCATATTCTCATTGTTCTTGTATATTCATATATTTCTATCTTAATATACCCTGAGGAATTCTTATTTCCCAGAAACCAGTGTAGAGATAATTTGTAATAGAATACCTGATCCTTCACTGTGACTATATGAAGGACTATATCCATAGTTTCTCATGTTTGGATGAGAAAACTAATCTTAGAAAAATTAGTGAATAAATGAAACATTCCAAACCCATGATAAATTCAATGCATTCCATACTACATAGTCTGCACTGTTCCCTGAAGAAACTAAAATACATTAATGGAATTGGCCTTAGGAAGGAATTTAGATAGAACAGTATGTATAAAATAATTTCTTTAAGTAACTGGAAATTCCATGTGTTTTTTAAAATTTGCCTTTTTGTAAAAGAATACAGTGAGTAAATTTATTCTGAGGCTCAGTTCCTAATTTCCTCTCTGCCACCATCTCCATGTTCTCCCTACCTCCTCCTCTGAACTAGTTTCTTTGTGTAGACTGTGCAATGTAAGTTTAAAATTGAGCTTCTCATTTCTTAAAAAGCAAAAATAAATTAAATAAAAAGTGATATACTGAAACACATATTAACATTTTTCACTACTTGGTTTAACTCAATTTTCATATAGTAATTATCTTATATATAAAGTAAGTGTGGAGTTAAAAAAAAAAAGAACAAGATTTGGGAATTAGATAAATGTGCTGATTAGAGTGCCAACCCCTGTAACTTAGGAAGTCATTAGACAAAGTGATTAAATTCTTAAGTGCCAGTTTTGTAAGGTACAACATAGGGCTAATATTAGCTATCTTCTTTATGGCATTATTGTAAGGAATAAATAGTGGTAAATAAGTGGAGTACCTAAATCAACTCTCTAGCTTATAGTAGGTACCTAACAAATCTGGTATTTTTGACATCAGCTGAGGTTCAGCCACTAACTAACTATATATACATTGTACAATCACATAGAAATTTTATATTATAAGGGCTTTAAAATATGTTACTGGAAATACTAATCTTTTTTGCATGCATTTTCTATGAATTAAAATATAATGTATACTGCACTGTGGAAATGCAAAACAGCTACATGTGTTAGATGTTTTAAAAATTAAGACATTCTTTTCTATACAAACATCAGAAGAGATTTGTGAAAAATTGAGGATTATATATGAAATTGTTTTAACATTATAAAGAACCATATGAACCCTAAAAGTTTGCTAACACAGATTTTAACCCAGGTCAGCCACAAAGTAGCTTCTTGACCAGGGGTATTTATACTTTTTATAACATAGCTTCTCATCTGAAATAATGGAACTAATATACCTTTTCTGCAGAAATATTGTTTGTATCAAACATATTAACATATATATGTGCTTGAAAAGGTTTTATCACATACCAAATACAATATAAATATTGATTAAACTTATTATCATCAATATGAGAATATGGATTACCTATCCAAAAATAATGTCATAACATATTTCAGCTAGCAAAATAGGCAATGGGCAATAGTTCTCATGTTTGTGCAGTAATTCTTATATGTTTGTCTCCATTTATCTATTTATATGGATAATATACATACCTAATATATATATATATATATCCATACATGAAAATGTTATATGTATATGCATGTATATATACATACATATGCACATATATACATATATGCATTATATACACAGTTTTAGAGATTTTTGCATTATATATGTGTATATATAGTATGTGTTGGAATTTATTCTATTTTAGAACTTACAAATTAACTCTTAGGTGGTACTTACATGGTACTTAAGAGTAACTATGAAAAAGAATATGTTTTTGAAAATTAACAACTTGGTCTCAGTTGTAACTGTTAATATTTTTCATGAACAAATAGTTCATCTCTCTCATAGATCATTTTCACAAATACAAAATCTTTACGATACTAATGAGACATGAAGCAGCTGTTGATTGAAATGTTATTTTAGGAACACTGTTAAATTTAGATATTATTGTAGATAGTCCATCCCATAATTATAGCATGTAATAACTTTTTATTTTCTTATTTTATTCTTACATCACCTTCTGAAATAAGAGCACAGGCATTGTTATCCTTATTTAAAGATTTAAAAAGTAAGTTCAAGCAAAGGAAAGTAATTTGTTCAAATTCACACAAGTACTGAATATCTGACAGTGTTCTCTAAGACTTCTTGTCCTGTGAATGGAATTTTCCTACACCAAAAAAATTTAAATTTAAAAGAAAAAAAAATATTTCTAAAACCAATACTTGCCACAAGGCATTTTTGAAGAACTTTAATACACTAAGGGCTTTTGTAGAATGTGATCCTAAAGAAGATTCCTATGCCAATTTATACTGCAGATTGAATTTGTTATCTTTATCTTTAACAATATACCCCAGTCCACGCAACTCATGATGTTTGAAATTAAGTGTGTATATTTTATAGTGAACTTGTTCCTTTATAGCTATTTTTGTAATTAAACACCACACTGGAAACAAAATAAATATAACAAATAAGTTTTTAAACAAACTTACATAGCCTCTAGGTTCATTACACAGATGGCTTCTGGACACTGGCATTTCGTTGGATCATCATATGCTATTCCCAGACTGAGTCCCAGTATTTGGGTGACAATAATTGAAAATTTCTCCAAAGTTATGCCCTTGGGATACTGAAATCACCACAAAGAAAATTCAAAGGAAAGAATCAATGGTGGTTAATAAAAGCCTTCTGATTATGAATATTTTTATTTTGTATCTAATATGTGAGGATAAGGACTTATGATTTCTTGTACAGAGCTGAAGTTCTAAAGCAGTTCTACTAAGACATAAGCTTGTTGACCTGGAGACAATGTCAAGATTTATCATGATTTTTAACAGTTGAATGCCTGGCAACATAACCATAACCATATAAAGGGACTAATTTATGCAGGAAAATTTCATTCAACTTTTGACTATTTGGCCCTTAATCTTTCAATTCACCCCATTTCTTATAACAACTCCAGTGTAAATTAGTGTGATCTATAGACTCTCCTTGCAGGTCATGGTCACATGATAAAAATATGTTATCTTGTTTCCTTTTAGGATCCTCACTGATACACTGACTATTACCAAAAGAAGCCACAGAAGACTCAATCTCTAAAGAGCATTCTTAGATTAGGCTGATTATACATTGGAGCAATACCCAAATACGTTACTTACCATGGAAAAATAGAGTACTGAACATATATAGGATTCAATGACAGCCTGATTTCTCAAATTATCACCTAAGATTCCCATAGAGCAGGGGGCAGTCTAAGGTAAAAGCTAACTTGTCAGAAATATCAAAGCACTTAATTGCTAAGATGTCAACATGATAATAAAGATTCTCCAGTCAAATTGCACAAAAAGTCTGATGTACTTTACACAGTCTATGGGATCTTTTTTTCAAGATCATCTAACAGTGAATCATATGAAACAGACTTTTGATGGATCACTTCACTTCAAAATAGGTGTCAAGAGTTCCTGTTTACTTATTCACTGTTTTTTGTTCCCATCCTTTCTTCAAAGGTTTGACTTCATTACTAACTGTGAATGTGATTCTGAAAAAAGCTAACAAATTGGTCTGGTAACAAAAAACACATTATTTTCATAACCTGATACATTTTTTCACTTCATTTCTGGGTCCACTGAATTTAAATTGCTTCAGCAAAGAGATGGTTGTTGAGGAATAGTGAGTATATCATTGAAACATCTTGTTTTACAGCTATTCCAGCTCTCCTGTTCTCCGTGATAATATAGCCCAAAGAGTCTCAAATGTCTTTATAGCCTAAAACTCATCATGCTGATCCCACTGATATGGTATCGACATGTTTACTAGGCCTTATAAACATCACAAATGTTTCAGTAAAATATATATGTGTTAGAGAGTAGGAGATATATTTTGCAGCACATCAGTAACCTACCAAAATGGTTGAGTTCCTAGGGGGGGCAATGGTCTGACACAGATCAGACACCACTTCTTCTAAAATTAGACACATTTATGCAGTTTACAAAGGCCACTATCACAAAATGGAAACTATATGCTCAGTGGCCTTATTTGAATGTTAGAGCTCAATATATGCCATGTTTGGGCAAATGGCTTTGAATGATGTACCAGTTATTATGTAAGCAACTTGTCCCAGTAAATTTGAAAATCTGACCAGGAGACATTAAATAATCTTAGTTAGAATGTCTCATCATGAAGTGCATATTATTCCAAAATCATAAGGTTGGATTTTCATGCAAACATCCCACTGAATAGTTCTAGAAACAGGCAAACTGCACAAACAGTATCTGACTCCCATGGCATCATGTTTCTTCTGACTCTAACAACTCAGTTCCTTTTATAACACTTAATAAACATTAATTATTAAAAGAAAAGTAAACTCGGCTTTGCTTCATGGCTGGACAGCAAGATTCACTAATAAAGCAGGAAGTAAATATTACTGGTTTATTTAAAAGAGCAAGTGGAATCTGGCACTTGTGGTGCTCTGGCAATCTTAGGTACTTGGGAGGCTGCTGTGGGAAAAAAAGCAAGTTTCAGGCCAGCCCAGGCAATACAGTGAGGACCCTGCTTCCAAAGAGAAAAAGACCAAGTGGGCTTAAGTTTAGGTTGTGGTATCTCTATTGTTTTGGTTGTTCAGAAAGAGAAATGGCCTAAGGCACTGGTTCATAGGCAATCCATAATGAGCTGTCTCACTGGCCAGAGGCTTGGCAATACTTTCCAGTAGCTTGAACTCCTAAGACAAAGAGATGAAAATATATTCTATGAATGGAGAAAGACTTACAATATTCATATGCTGTCATCAAATGTCCACTTTGGGGAAGACTCATACAAATCCAGGTGCATTTCAGTTGCACATATTCTTCCTCAGACACCTCAATGTTACTCAGAAGGACAAGGACTATAAAGATTCCATAGTTTCACAGAGACATTTTTCATGGCTTCATACACAAATAAGCACCCTTTTAGAAATAGGCATTAACAGAGGCAACCAATGAGCCTCCACCATGACACTACATTGCATCAGTAGTGCTGGAGTTAGGTTTATTATATTAGACCATTCAGTCACTAAAGGGGCCATGATTAGTCCTTACATATAATCCAGCTATGCATTTTCCTTGCCAGTCTGTGATGTTTCTACCAGCACCACATTCTTGCATTACAGCTTGTCTTCTGTATCACCATGTGGTATCAGGGCAGACCAGGATCACATTTTATGGCATGGGCTTTAAAGAAATGTGTTAATTTCCCATTTCTCACACATGATTTACTTATCACATGTCTCACAAAGCAGAGGCATCTGGCTCAGTAACATCTGGCTGAAGTCACTTGTGACTCTGGCTAAGAGACAAGATCCTAAGAGGTAGGAATGACGTCATTAATGACTTAAAAATTACACTAACACTGTGGTGGTGAACCTACAACACACATGCTGCAGCAGGCATGTAGAGTCCTCTCTGTCAGCAAATTGCCCAGCAGGACCATTGATTACCCAGGTTTAACTGCAATGTTGGCATGCTGTGATGAATAAGTGGGTTTGTGCTGACCAAGGTTTCACAGAAAACAGTTTGGTCAAGCAATGGCTGTGACTCATCCTGATGGCTGACACTGACAGATCTAAGAGATGCTGCACATGGTCCCAAGATAATACTGAGGAGGCTTAACTGAACTTGGTAGATAGCAAAAATGGATCAATATGGGTCTTGCCTTAACTTGAACATCCTGTAGAAAAGTGTAACAATGAGAGGTGTAAAGAACAACGCCACAATAATATGTTAGCTGTAAAAGGTTCAAATCACCAGCAACTTCCGACAATTGTCAGCTAGACTGGTAGCTGACCACTGTCATGGATATACGGACTATATTCTCCAAGCACAGATTTTCCAACTTGAACTAAACATCTTTTTGTCTCTATGAAACAGAAAATAGAGAGATGTTAGGAGTGGCTGAAGCTTAAATAATTACATGTGCAGGACGAAGCCAGCCCAGGAACATGACAGCTCATCAAAGCATTTAAACAAGCCATTGCAAGCTTAAATTGACACCAATCTCTCAAGGGTACAAATAAATGTTCTTCCATTCTTGGGCAGTTTCTCTCCTCAGCTTAGGAGAGAGTGAGCTCTACCCGAACGAGCTATTTTCTCCTGTCTGTCTTTCCTCATTCTCACTGTACTTCCTACCCAGAAACACTGGAGTCCAAAGAGTTGCTATAGGCTTGGGCTTATAGTCTGAGTACTTGTTCTGTAAAAGATTTGCCATGACTCTCCTAAGTAGTGGCTAAAACTTGGGGCAGTTTCTTCTACATTCATGAGATGTAAATCTGAGAATAGGGGAGGAAGAGGTGATGAGCATGTCATCCCTCACCAAATAACCAAAGAAGCTACAGGAATCTTTATTTTTTGTTTTGGGGACTTTGAGTTCAGTGCATTTGGGTAATACTACCTATATGAAGAATAATTTCACCAGGCAGCATAATCATGGTCTCCTGAAATTAGAAGCTTAGAATTTTCTGTGGCCATTTTTGTCTTTTTATACCACTATTGAACAGAGAAATAGAAAAAGAAGTACTGTAAAAAATAGTAATCAGCCTGGGCAGAAGTTTGGTTGGTTATACAAAATGGGACTGAGGAGAGCTATTTTGTTAGTGGAAAATTATGGTACCTCAACAACAACAATAAAAGACTTCCAAAGATTCATATATGACATGAAGGAAAGATCAACAAACAATTTCATCAAGCTAAGTCTCCTAGAGCAGGTAAAAGGATTGATCAATGAATAGGAGGCAACAAAAGAAAGTTATGATTTTTTCACTATCTAAAACAGAAGTGTGGACTATTATAGCAATTGTTTATTGTTTCCTTTTTCTCCTTTTAGGTCCAAGTATTTTATATAAAGAATCCTGTTCATAGAGCTCACCTTTCATTTGCAGTTAGAAACATAAATTAATAATAAGTAGCAAAAAGTGGTATACTAGGGTTTATCATTGCTCTCCTGAGCAAAGAGTACATGAAAGGTAAACTGAATGGACTATTCTGAATATTTGCTGTGTGTCTTTATAGATTTAATCCTGCTCTTTCCCATCCTGCTTTGCACCATGCCACAGAGTTTTATGAATTACACAGATAGGCACTTTGTCCTCTAGCAGCTCAATAGGAAACTCTTGGAAAGTCAGAAGATAAGTGAGGACATTTCACAGTTCCCAATAAAAAAGCTGTAACCCTCAACAAGATCAGGTTAAGAGACCAACCAGGTCTCACCACACAGCTACCTGATTTTCTTGAATTGTTACGTATAAGAATTCAATTTGTGGTAACAGAATTGAGGTTAGCAGCACTACACGCACACTATTTGTGATAGCTACCTATCTAGCATCTCTCCAAAAGGGCATGTCAATCCTACAATATTTAGATATTTCTTCTATACCCAATTTACATTGAATTTCACTTCTAGCATAACCACTTATCCTATCTTTTCTGCACTTTCATACTGTTGGCCAATTTCCTCTTTGAGATATCAAGCTTTGTAAATTTTACAAGGGTAGTTCATTCAGAAATGAGAAGGCAACATGCCTCACAACTACATGCCTCACACTGGGTATAAGCCAACTAACAGTACACCACAACCAAGCTCTGACGGTCTATGAAAGAAGTGATGTAAAGTATTTGATCATAGAGATTTACAAACTGATGAAATTGCATCTAAGCATAAGATTATGTGAAAGTACTTTAAATATTTTGAGAGATATGGCTTTTTTTCATTCAAAATTGTTATTATGAGGCTGTGTCCATGATTGTGGCCATACAATTCATATCCATATGATCAGGTGAAGCAATAATTTATAGATATTAATTAGTGGTAAACTATTACATCATGTGAATATAATAACACCTTTTATTCACCCAGTACATTTTTTGCTGTACATTTGAGGTATTCCCAGTTTTGTCCTATTAAAAACAGTACTCCAATAAATATTCTTTTAAGGCATGTATCTCGCTATTTCTGCACAGGCAAGGGAAAATGTTGTATCACACCAAATGCGCAAGTTCATTTTTAGTAGATATTAGTACCTACAACTTGTTTTTAAACCTGGTTATAACAATTTACATTTCCATAAACAACAGGTAAGATTTGTAGTTGCTCACCATTAGTGTTGCCCATCTTTTTAATCATTTCTTGGTGGCTTCTTAATATTATCATATATTGGTGGACTGTGAAACAATATTTCATCCAGATTAATCTGCATGCAATATTTTGATCAATTGAGGATACCTTTTGGTGAGAATTTTCTTAAGTATCTTGTCTATTTTTCTATCATGACAACCTTCTTTTTTATTGATTTATGGGAGCATTTCGTGTGTGTGTGTGTGTGTTTTTTTTTTTTTTTTTTTTTTAACGGAACTGGGGATTGAACTCGGGCTCTTGCGCTTGCCAGGGAAGCGCTTATTCCACTGAGCCATCTCCGCAGCACCTTCATGTGTTCTATAAACATTGTTAGCCATGCATTGTAAATATATTTATCACTTCTTTTCAACTTTTCCTGATTTTCTCATAAACACAATTTCCTAAGTTTAATGTGGTCCAATTTTAGGCACCTTTTCTCATATGATTAGAGATTTTCTGTTCACTTTAACAAATATTTCTGTACCTATGTTGCTTTTATCATCCAGAACTTCACTGTTTAATTTCATTATATATACCTACAATCTACCTAGAGTTTACCTTTGGGACAGCACTAAGTCAAAGATCAGTTTCATTCATTAAAAAGGCCAATCATCAGCAAATGTGTCACAACATAACTTTTGTAAATAATTACCACATGCCTACACATTTTGTTGTTTCTGTTGGGCAACAGACCTTTTAACAGGAACAAGAACTCCTTCCTCTTATCAGAAACAGCAGGTGAAATCCTCATCACCTGCTTTTTTATGGTCTTCCCCTAGGACCTCACTTTGTATAATCTATAAAACTGTTAATACATTCAACACATGTTTATACTACATTTGCACCATAACTACCTTCCTTGGTGAGGCAGAAAAATGTTACCAATTTATCAATCAATTATGTTACCAAATTACCAATCAATTATGGCAGCAAAATAAAAATATTTTCATTAAAAAGATAACTCAGGAGAAAATAAATCATTTAAAATGTTAATAGTGGTGACAAAATGCCTGAGTGACAAAATGTCATATACTATAAATTTTCTTACATGATTTTACATGTACTTAACAAATTTGACATGCTTAACAAAAAGTGCTATTTAATTTTTTAATATACTTTATTTAAACTTGTTTTTTAAAAGTATTAATAAGATGAGACAGTCTCCCAGTGACATGACCTTCAATAATGAATTTAAGATTACCAATGCATTTATAGAAAACATAACTCTGCATATTTAAAATATACCTAAAAGTTTCTTTTGAATGCTGTAGTTCTTCTAAATACCTCAATGGTAGAACTTCTAAACATCTCAATGGATTTTTATTTCAAGTTTTTCTTTGTTTATATGTTGAATATATGTTATCTATAACAAAATTTCTGTAATTTTACATCTAAAAAAAAACCTATTTGGTTTACAGAGATTTATAAATAATTTTTCACAATGCACTGTTCTGTACATTAAGGAATAGATGTATATTTATGGTATTTCTGCTCTTGTTTTAACTTTGAAATACTACACCTGACTGAAATATGACACTTTTTCTACAAAATATTCCATTATCATTTACATACTTCAAGATGTCAATGAAAATGGAAACACAAATGCAAACAGTATAGAATATATAGTAGCAACTTGGATAGTTTTTAAATGTTTATTTTTTTAAAAGTTAATTAATTACATACCAGTGCAATTCCTGCAGAATAAGGAGTAGCACACATCTTTCCAGGAAATGTAGCTCCCACATAGTCAGGATTATCTCTATGACTAAATAAATGAATACATACAGATCAAGAATTAATTTTACTGGACAACTTCATTGTGAGTATTGCATAATCATCTTACTAATTTCATTTTTAGTTCATAAAATGCCAGTCTCTATCAACATGAGGCACAATGTTTTCATATGTCTTGATTGTTTGAAATTTGGAAGACAGTTTTCACTTGATTGGATTAGGTACTCTTGGTCCTAAAACAGATCCAGAAGAGCTGATATTTTTCTCTTCTGTTCTCATTACATTTGGTGAAAGTCACCAAAGCCTTTGTTCAAACATAGTGATCAAGAGAATTTTTGAATATAGCAAGGACTTAAAATTATGAAGTATGGACAAAATGTGTCATATGTAGAAAATATCAACAGTTACTCATAGAAATGGCTTTATTTTTCCATAACTAAACATACATTTCAATTTTGAGGGAAAGTGTCCATAAAATAGTCATATAATAGCACTATTCTCAGAGATTTGCATGAATTATCTCATTTGACCTTCAAAACAAACCACTAAAATAAATAATTTTACGCATGTTAAGTAAATTAAACATTGGATGAGAGATAGAAGTAACTCTCCGAAAGTGGCATGATTATTAAGTGCAATAGAAATATCTAAACTTAGCAGTCTAAAATCAGAATCACACTCTTAACCACTGAACGGCAGCTGCCAACTTGTGATGGGCCCACTGCACTTCAAAACAGGTGTTGAGAGCTACTGTTTGCTTATTTACTCTTTTCTGTTTCTATTCTTTCTTCAAAGGTTCAACTTCATTTCTGTGAGTGAGATTCTTAAAAGAGCTAACAAATTTGTTTGGCAAGAAAAAGCATATTATTTCCATAACCTGACATTATTTTGCACTTCATTTCCAGGTCTATTGAATTTAAAATGTCTTCACACTTGTTCTTTGTATTTAATGTGACCTTTTTATTCTTTCTCCTCTTTTTCCCTCCTTTCCTTCTTTACTCCATCCTATTCTCCTCTTCTCTTAACTGTAAACAAGTACATACAATGCTGTAACATTGTTCTTGCTAAAATCATTGTGCCTACTGTAAGGCACAGCAACACAGTTTTTCTTCTATCCTGAACTCATTATAAAAACACATATTGACTTCTCTAAAATGTCCTTTGTACCACTTCTCTCTCAACTACTCATATCATAGTGTTTACAGTTTCAAATTTTTCCTCTTGCATCCTTGCAGTCCCAGACCCTGTACCTTTGACAGTAAAACCATAAAGCTTTCTTCATCGTTTGATAATTAATGCTCTAATGTTACTGTTGAGTTCTTTTCACCATTAACAGAGATATAGCTATTGCATTTAGTACATATTAGGTATAAGCACAAATGGGTTACATTTATATTTACATCATAATTCCAGATTTCTTCTCTAGGATTAAGGATGTACATAATTGGCATTTATGATATGTTAATATTCAGTTTGTCTTAGATGATACTACTGTACCTTATTTCTTTGATATTAATAGGGTCACACAATTGTTACTGTTTCTCTGTAAGCCAACATTAAGATCACTTGTGACATTACCAATACTAGAATAAATTCCCTGACAACATTGTTGTTAGGTTAATTACACTACATCTTCCCTGTCCTAATTAACCAAAGTGGTCAGATCTTGGAGTTGTAACAATGGATTATAGATAGCAAAATTGAACGTACATCACTAAAAAGGAACTGAATAGACCTCTGCATCAGCAAGAAAGACGTTACACTATGAATATCTTCAAACCTCAACACAAAACAGTAGAAACATGAGACTAGTTAACAAAATGCCTCCAAAAAATTCAAACTTTCCTGAAGCCAATGAGGGGCGGACATAGACATAGAGTTAGGGCTTCATAAACTACATACCCAAATTACCTGAAAGGATAACAGAAGGGGTTAGAAAACAGATCAAAGATGTATTCAGTGGGACCCAAGAAGATATAACTAGACAGATAGATAATGGAAACATAGATATTCCTCATTTAACAACTGAGTTCAATTCCTATGTCTAGGTTATTCAATGAATTGGTTGCTAAATAAATAATATAAAAAAGAACATAGTTTATACATTTTCATATTCAGAAGAAAGAAACACTAACTTGATGAATTTGCTTTTATTTACAGAACATTTACATGTGGTACCATAATTATGTAACAATATAAACACAGTATTGTAATATAAAGTACAATCAACAAAATTTACATACTATATGAATAAGATGTGTTATACAAAAAAGTACATTGAGATTCATAGCAAAATATAAAAAAGTATACCTAGAAAAAGATGGGTTGTAAGTCTGAATGGCATGTTAAAATTCTGAACAGTAATTAAACAAGTAATTAAATAAGGAATTTCTGTGCCTTAGTTACTTTTCTCACATTGCTGAGACAAAAATGCCAAATGCCCACAAATTAAGGGAGGAAAGATTTATTTAGCTCATAGTTTGTAGAGGTTTCAGTCTGTAATCAGCTGACTCCAAGGCAGGGTGACATCAGGGGGTACTAGAGCAATAAGACCATGATAGCATCTTTCTGCCCCTTTTATCCAGACTACTAAGGAAGGTAGCATTTATATCCCTAATTCTAATGTGTCTAGTTCTATACCATGAATCAGTTCCAGCGTCACACACACTACATTGAGCCATCTCTGAAAAGGCACCACTTATGATCATATGAGGTTTTGGAGGAACATCTAAACACAAGTCATAGCAACCTCTAATAATTAAAAAAGGGAGTTTTCACAAGACACTAATTAAAAATTAGCTGAGCTAAATAAAATGACAAACACAAGCAAGCAAACAAACAAAAAATCGAATAGAAACATGAGAAGATAAGTCAGCACAATGCTTCTGAAACATCTCACTTCCCTGAAGCCAATCCAGGGGACAAGAAGAGGTAGGAGAACATAAGCCACACACCCAAATTATATGAATGACCAATTCATCAAAAAATTAGAGTCAATGAAAAGGGCTCAACTGAAATCCAACAGACTGAAAATTATGTTCAGAGTATGGACAGCATAACAGACACACAAACATAAATATCACATGGTTTCTCTTTATGAAAAACTCAATATACAAATAAAATGTGGAATAAAAGGCACACAATAGGGAAAAAACAAGAAAGAAAAGGTATTGTAATTCAGCATGGAAAATTTATCTGAAAGCATACCTTGGTATAATATAATTGTCTTATGACTTTTGTATGTTTTTGCCATGAAATTTTGGCTGTTAATCTGTATCAATAACTTCATAAACACAAGATAAAGTAATGACTGATTCTGGCAAAAAGAATATAAAATGGTAGGTGGTAGAAGGAAAAAAATTGAGATGTGTTATATGCATGTATGAATGCCCCATAATCAGTATAATCATTATGTACTGAAAACCTGTACTAATAAAAAATACAAAAAACTCAGCTCAAAAAAATAAAAAAATTAATAATGTAACATGTATATCTTACTGATGTATAAAGTATATATAATGTTTCACATGCAAAGGGAAACATTGATATGCCACCTATAAAATACAAAGTTACCTGCTGAGAGAAATACATCGGTACATATAAACAGAAAGATCTTTATTATTGTTAGCATTATAATATAAATAAAATACAAATATAGCTCTATTTCTCATTATAAAGCTACCATTGAAAATAAAACACAATTCATTAAGATACAATGCTTGTAACCAAGTTTACAAAACTTTTGATCAAGCTTATCATCAAAATAAACTTCACAGGACAAATTTCAACACCTAAAGGAAATGGGTGGGAGCTTGAGCTTTGGATTTTGAAACTGATTTTAAACCCCTGATACACCACTAGATGAGATGGTCCTGAGATGGCTTACCTTCCTTAAATCTAAATTTCTTCATTTATAATAGTTTGATAAACTTAATAAAAAAGTTAATAATCTTATTTTATTGCCTGAAAATAGAAAGAAGGCACAAGATTTGAATACAACACATAAGAAATAATCAAAATATGAATTATCCCAAATAACTAGCACTTCCCTAAATTAAGCTGTATTATTATCACAGATCTTGCTTTTCTTCCCAGGAATACTGAAATATTGTTCTTACATGAATAGATATGTAACATCATGAGGCTTTAGGGTAAGATGAGACTGTTCCCATTTTGAAAACCTGTACAGTACTTCATCTGCCTTGCCGATTGTAGATATCTTATTTGTATCTGACCATAACTCCAATGAAGACAACAAAACAACCACTTTAAATTGGGAAAACATCTAAGAAACAAATAGAGTAAAATCACTTTGTGTTGTTTTATAATAACCTAAAAATTATTTCAATATCATCACAAACCTATACTCAATTTATATGGATGAATTAATTACTAAGGAACAGTACTTCAAGTTACTGAAAATACAGTTACAAAACAAATAATGGAATATGAAAAGGATAATACTTACTGAATTTATAAGGTTGATCATTTCCATGAATTTTTTTGTTATGGTCGTGCTATCAGAGCCTAAATAATCATACTGAAAGACAAATTTAATTTTACACTTACATCAAATTTGTTACATCATACTTTGAGATCTGCTCATCATCTACTTGCTAACTTCATTGAACAGTTTAAAATAAGATTTAATAAAAAATGAATATAAACAGGGTCATTTGCATTGTGAACATTGATTCAAAAGGCATGACCACTCTGGAAATTAGTTTGGCAACTTCTTATAAAACAAATAATGGATTTAGTATATGACCTATCAAATATACTTCTGAGCATTTATCCCAAAGGAATGAAAACATGTTCACACAAAAATCTACATGTTCACATCCCTAATACTGTTGACCCTGGTGGCAAAAATGAATATTCTCTAAGTGATTAAATGTTTTAAAATGAAATACATCCATTCCATAGAATGTTACTCTCCAACAAAAAAGGAAATGAAATACTTGTACATGGAACCCCTTGGTTAAACCTCAAGAAAATTGTGCTGGGTTTAAAAAGATATCCAAACAAATCACTGAAGGATAACTTTATGTTATATCTGTGAGAGTATAACAAAAGAGACCAGCTTGGTGTCAGTCCAGAGCAAAGGAGGAGTATCTGGGTGAGGCTGTGAAGAGGCAAAGTGTGAGAGTCTTATTGTGTTCATGGTGTTGAATATCTTGGTTGTGCTGGGGGTTTCACAAGACTACTTCAATGATTTGGTTTAATAGTACAATCAATTATCATATTTCATATTTATTATATGACATACTTCATCAAGACAAAAGCTTTTGTTCACTGCTGTGTCCTTAGTAGCTAGAAATGAGGTTGATATGTAGATGACCCTCAGCAGATTAACAAATAAATCACTCAAAATTTACAAGTTCTTCTAATTGTCCCTCACCAGTAGTTTTAAAGTTTTAGCAATAGTTCTATTCCTACAGAAACCAATTTCTACACTCTCACATTGATGACTGGATAATCTATTAAATACTGATTCCTATAATTTCTCATAAGCAATCCCCTACACTACTACCAAAAAAAAATTTCTAAACTAAAAGCATGAATATGTAACTTTCTTTCTTTCTTTCTTTCTTTCTTTCTTTCTTTCTTTCTTTCTTTCTTTCTTTCTTCTTTCTCTCTTTTTATTTCAGGGAAGGATCTACAAGGTGTTAAAGGTCTCACTACTACATTGGACTCATAGTGATCTGCCTGTTTACAGCCTCCCAAGAGCTGGGATTATAGGCATGTGCCACCACACCATCTCAATCGCCTTTTCAGAGTGTCCCGGGGGCGGGGCCGGCATGGCAGGTCTGGAGATCAAACCCCTGGCCCCTGTGCCTGCTTGCAGGCAGTTTAATCCGCAGAGCTATTTGGCTGCCCAATGTAACTTTCTTGCTTAAAATTTTTCAGTCTCTCCATTGTCTTATAATAATGTCCAAAGAGCCTATGAATTTTTTTATTCATCTATTTCCAGATCCCTTCTTTTAAGTATGTGTACTGATCACAAACATTTTCTCTCTCACTGGCAGAGGAATGTTGGTATGAAATCTTCCCTGGGCCAACTCTATACAAGTTGCTCATTTCTTGTATTAATTATGTGCCACTGTGTTAATGTCTCCTTTTCTATTTTGGTTATATCTTATGGTTTGCTGTCTTGGGCCCTTGTAGACCCTAAAAATATAATTCTCAGAATTATGCTATTCTTGGGGATGGTAAATGACCACTTTAGAATGTACCTTTATATATAAGATGATCCAGCGAGGACCTGTACCTGTCACCTCACACGGCAAGCTCTCACCCCAGGGGCATCATTCCTCTGTTTAGCTAAACCCAGGGCCAGGGAGACAACTATACACCACTACTACACCTCAATCAGTACAAAATGAGCATATGCAAATTAGGCAATCGTAACCTGCTTATGCTACCTCATGTGATCTCACAAAAAAGATAAAAGCCTCTTGATTATGTGGCTCCTGCTTCCCCTGATGTAGGATGGTCCTGGTGCCTGCCCTTCTGGCCTCAGTATCATGAAGCATGGCCTCTCCTCCAGAAAGCAATGAGTCATCAACAGTAATCATCTCCTCATATGTTGGCCTTAGCATAGCTGCACAATACTAAAATCTATATTGTAAAACTTTTAACTGTATATTCTCATAGCACTAACGTGGGACAGTTGTATTTCTATAGCTGCCTCCTTGAAAACATGGCTCTATTTCTATAGTACCATATGCTTTCCTCAATTATGTTGCTGATCTCTGTAGGCTACAATTATATATTTACTTTTTATGGCACCAGTGAAGAAAATGTTAGTAATATTTTTCTTATGTATACCTAAAGCTGGCTCAATTTTTATTAAGGAATTTGTAAATATACATGAAAACATAAAAAAGTAATGTTTAGTCAGCATCATATGACTTATAAAACCTACAACTGGGCAAGAAGCTTTCAAAACAACTCTCAAAACTTGGTAATATATGCCTGAAACAAATGAAGTTTTATAATCCTATTACCCTGAATTTATCACTATGATCTGATCTGTGCAGTGAAGCCCTGTACCAAATACAGTAAAAAAGAATTCCAAAATACAGCATTCATAGAACCATTTTTCATACAGTTTTACTATTATCACTTCTGCCTCCGTAAATATTTCATAGCATGAGAAACATATCCTGGATTAACTACTACACTTTCAGACTTCCTAACAACACTTAGGACTCTTAAACAAGCTCACCTTCACCAAAAGTCCATTAAAATTAATGTGGCTCAAAAGAATCCATAAAAACATAAAGAACCAAAAAAAGAAAAAAATCATTTTTCTTGTCAAGACTGTCACATAAATATTTAAAAGAAAACATTTCTGATATGTTAGAACAGTTTTTGATTCTTTGTGCTTTTAGTTGGAATATTTTATACTGTTCTGTGACGAAAGGCAGGTAACATGAATAGGAACTCTTAACTGTCTTTTGGCTAAGGATAACCATCTATTTCTACCAATATTTAAAATAAAGAAAAAGTGAAAGCACATACCAAAGCTTTGTCTACCACAACATACATTTCTACATAAACAGGAGGTAAGTCAGTAACAGGTGTTTTTGCCTAGAGAAAACAAAAGTAGAAAATAACATTGAACATGTTTTGTAATTTATTTATTTTGAACTCTTCATAGACACTATTATTGTGGCACTCATAAAACCTGATAGAAAAAATTTTTGTCCCAAATGACAAATATTAATATATAGAGCTTTAAGTTTTATAATGGACTCTATTACTCAAATCATTGGTAGTGAAACGAAATTATATCATTCAATAGATCTACAGTGTCCAATTAATGAAGAACAAAACCCCAGCATTTTGAAGAATATATTTCATTGGAATACTAGAGACATATTAAACTTATGCTTTATAGATTACAGAGATGTTGAAGATTGAAAAATTAGTTACATTTTTATCAGTCTTCCTGTACCCACATCCTTTGCAAAGCCACATCAAAAAAAGTGACTAATTCTCCTTTGTATCTTTACGTAGGATAGGAACTCCTAACTTCTCTAAGTCAATAAATGCACTGCCAATCTCTTGTTTCAATCAGCAGTCTGAGTCACTCTTCACACTACTATTCCTGATCCTCCAAATCTGCCCAGCCAGCTAGAGGATGAAAAGCATCAGTGGGGGGGTGAGGGGGATCAAGTCATTGCTTTAGGAAAAAAGAAGCTGGTAAGTTGCTTTTTTGCATATAATTTTTATTAGTAAAAGCTCAAGATACCTAATGATTACACTCATCCTGAGGAGTTGAATTTCTTAAGAGTGTGTTATGATACATGTCCCTTGTTACCCACCAACACAGCAACATACCCTACACATCCAGGTCAGTGACATCCATGATGAGAATACTCATGCCCCTGGTGTGGCTGGCTGGTGCCAGAGATGTAGACTGTAAACTTGCTCCCAAATAACTATGATTGGGTGATTCCAGATGTCCAGTAGTTCCCAAAGGATCTGCTCACAGGGATGGGCTAGACCCATAGGTGGTGTCTGTTAAAAGCATTCAAAGGAAGGAAACCTGCCTGCAGTTCTCTGGAGCAGTAAATAACATGTGGGGCAAGCAGTGGGCATGCTGAAAACCCTGAGGAGGAAGAGACTGAGTGTGGAAGTAAAGGCTTTGAAAATCTCACATATAGTGGTAAATCTAGAAGAGACACATACTCAAGGATAGACACACATTAAGAAATGGCTTTGGAAGATACTAACCTCTCTCCCCTGGCTTACCTTCTGGCAGTGAAAAAGAAAGACTTGAGGCCAAAGCAGAGTGTCAATAGCTTGGGTGTTGCAGGTGCACCCAGGCCCTGAGTTAACTTGGAAACCTCTGGCCAGGTACTTGGATGGTGGCCAGCTTTGAGTCACCTGACAAAATCTCTTTCAAATCACTGGGTGACCACTCACAAACAACAGTCTCTCTAAAAGTATTTTAGGAGTCACTAAAAAACACGAGTAGCAATAGCAGCAAGAGACTGGGGAAGACATAGCAACCTGGTTTCTAGTATTACCAAACTGAAATATTCAAAATTTTCTGTTGCTCAACAAAGAAATGTAAAGCATCAAAAATCAAGAATGTATGGCTAATTATCAGGGGGAAAAATAGAAATTTTCCATAAAGAAGTTCAAATATTGAATTTAGCACAACACTATAAATTACCTGTTTGAAATGCACTCAGAAAGCTAAGTGAAACCATGCACACACACCAAAAAAATCAGAATGATGCTTCACCAAAACATGATAATGGGTTTTCTCTGACATCTCTGCTAAGTTTTCATGGCAGTGAACTAATATGACAAATGCTACCGGAAGCCATGCTCCACATTCCACCTTCCTTACTGCTCAAATTGCAACTTCCTATTTCCTTTTTGCAACATCTTGTTTCCTTGCTCCTGCCTTCTGCCCAATCACTATTTGCTACATCACGCAGACCACCCCTAAGCCCCCACCTCCATCCTGGCCCTATATAGCCTTTTCCATGCCACGCCCTCAGAAGTTGCAGTCTTTCCTTTCCTTTGGTCTCCATGCCTGCAGTCAAAGAGATTTTACTCCGTTCTGTCTCATTTGTGCCCAAAAAACCCTCAACAGATAATATAATTAAAAATATAATAAAAGAAATCATGGAGCTGAAAAAATATAATGAACAAATTACTAGAGAGATTCAGCACCAGATGTTAATAGACAGAAAGAAGAAATAACATGCAAATTTCAAAACAAATCAATGAAAACTTAAAAAACGTCTTATAATCAACACATCATGATCATATATATTTAGGTGGTACATTGTGATAATTCAATACTGTATGCACACACACAATGATTGTATCATAATTAGCATATCAATCTTCTGAAGCATTTATTTGTTAACAAGCCAAAGATGCCCAGTATCACTTAGGACTGAAGTCCTGCTCAGAGCAATTAGAGAAGAGAAAGAAGGCATTCAAATTGGAAAAGAAGGGCCAGCCAGATAGCTCAGCAGATTAAAGCACCTGCTTAGGAATAAACAGGGACCAGGTTCAATCCCCAGCATGCTGTGCCGGTCCTGCCCCCAGGGTGCACTGATTCCACAACTGAGACTGGGAATAGTATTGCACCCCTGTAATCCCAAATCTTGGGAGGCTGAAATACAGGAGGATCACTACGAGTCCGATCTGTGTAGTGAGACTATGTAGACCCTGTACTAAATACATAAAAAATGGAAAAGAAGTGGTTAATCTATGTGATATGTTGACAGTATAATCTTATATATAGAAAATCCTAAATGTCACCAAAAATTTTAGAACTGATACATTCCGAAGGGTTGCAAGGAAGAAAATCATTAGTATGTATACTTATTCACAGCTGTCTGAAAAGAAACTAAGATGCTCCCATCTGCAAATATATTCAAAATACACTAAGAGTAAATTACTTAAAAAGTGATATATTTATATCCTATAAGCTATAAAACATTATGAAGATATTGAAAAAGATAGTAACTTCAGTTGTCAGTTGATTTGCATTTCTCTGATGAAGGCCAGAAGGAAAAATACAATTTTAATCTTTCTGCAAAGCTAGCCTTGTAGCTGAGATTACATCATAATTTTTTTCCATAATTTTATTGAGAAACAAATAGCAATGAGACAGTTTCAAACCAAATTGGTAGGACAGTTTCATACATCATAATTTTTATAAATATTTTACTTGTAAAATTCTGGAGAGCACTGTTTAAAATGTAGAGACCTAGAAAGAGTGTCATTCCCAAGTTACAGAGGAAAAAGTCAGATAGTGAATTAAAATCAAAATGTTTCTTCAGCCAACCAGAAACTAGAGCTGCTTAGCAATGAAAAATGTTCATTTTTCAAATATCTATTAATCAGAAAACAACTAAGCTATGTAAAAATTAACCTATCACTTTGGAAATATACCTCAAAGGACCTGGATACCACATAAATGGAAAAAGAAAAAGTTGAACTCATTTAAAGAAAAAAATCCTACCTATTAATGACATGTGCTAAGGCTTACAAATAATCCCAGCAATATTATATTTCAATGCCTTTTTAAAAAGAAGCAGAAACCAAACGTACAGAGAACCACTTTAAAACCAGACTCCAATGAACACCAGTAAGAGTTATTTTATCGTTTCATTTGGACAGGGATGATAGAAGGCTTTCCCACACATGGCCATTCATCAATTACCACTTGTCACAGATTCACTTCGCCGCTCAAAAGATTGTGTAAGAAATGGAAGGTTTCCCATATCTGTTGCATAGGGTTTCACTCAACTCTGAGTACTTTCATGAGTGGGAAAGGAATCAAGAAATTACAAGCCTTCTTCTCTCCAGTAAGGTATTTCTTCAATTTAAATGGAGACAACTAAAGCTTTTACCACACTATTTACAGTCAGTTTACTTGTGATTCCTGTTATGCCTTAGAAATAAAGTGGTACTACAAACCTTACATGCAAATGATTCACTGTGTATGTGTGCTAAGGATTCTTTGTTGTTCTTTGATTTCCTGCAGCCCTACTATGAGATATCTAGGAGGATAATTCTATTAATCTTGCATCTGAGTCATTACACTTCATTAAAATTTCATTCAATGGGTTTCTCTTTCATCAATTTTGGAAAATATTCAGCCGAATTCTTATAAAATATTATCTTTTGATCCATTTTCTCTCCTCTGGAAAGTTCAAGTGCTTCAAATAGTATTTTTTTCTACTCATTCTTTTCCTGTATTTCCTGTGTTTTTGTTTCAGTGTTGAGTTCTTGATGGTTTTATGTTTCTTCTAATACATTTTTCAGCTCTCATATATCTGCTGCTGTAAAACCCACTATCTGGGGTTTCATATTTATTACTTTAGCTTTAGAACTACCAAATGGTTCCATAAAATCAATTTCATCACTTTCCATTGTATTCAGTTAAAATTTAATTTTACTCTTGTTGAATGAGATCATACTCATAAATGAAACAAAACAGACACTCATGTGTGAATACCACACTGTTTTTTTCTGGTGTGAGAAACCCAAAGCATAAATAAAGAACAAAATATAAAAAGCATTGTGAATTAGGAAGAAAATGTTCAAATAAGGAAGGAACAAAGGAGAGATGGAAGGGGAGGAAAGAAGGGGAAAGTTAGAAATGTGAGAGAAAGGGCCAGCCAAATAGCTCAGGGGATTAAAGTGCCTGCAAACAGGCGTGGGTGCCAGAGGTTCGATTCCTTGGCCTGCTGAGCCAGCCCTGTCCCTAGGGCATGTTGAGACTGGGAGTGGTGGTGTGTGCCTGCAATCCCAGCACTTGGGAGTATATGTCATTTTGAGATATCTGTAGTAAACAGGAGAATCACCACGAGTCTGATCTAGTAGTGTGACCCTGAACACCCCATAGACCCTCCCCTAAAAACACACACAAAAAAAGGAAAGAAAGAAAAAAATGTGAGAGAATGAAAAAGCAGAAGCAAATTTTTTTGTCAACAGGAGGGAGGAAGGGCTGAAGGGAAGGTCGAAGGATGGGAAAAAAGAATTAAGTTATGCCATGTACAGGCACACAGTCTCTATGATGAATGTAATCATTATGTACATCTAAAATG